AGACTGTCAGCAAGAAAATCCTATTCACCGCTAAATTATCTTGAATTCAAGAAAAATGCTGGATGTTTACAGAGTTGTGATCATATATACCAGTTCAGCTCCAGACGTTATCACGCGTATTCTCGATGAGCTTCAGTGAAACTGTGGAGGGTCTAACACATTCAATAGTGAGATGGTTAATGGAGTATCTCATGCTGATATTCCATGGGTCCTCCAGTTTCGCTAAAGCCTGCCGTGTGATGCGCGCGATAGCGGGCGGAGCAAAACTGGTTTTGTTATATTTTTCAACATCAATCAGAAGAATATCATTTCCTAAGGAAGTGCTAGATCGCCGAAATGAAAAGAAAAACTTTAATTCATTTTATTGAAATTCTTCGCATTATCTTTTTCAATCTTCACAGTGATGTTTGGCATTGCCAATTTTATTGCATTTTTTTCACACCACAACGTGAATCACTGCACAACGAAAGCTTTTCATACTGTAGGCGTTCAAACAATTTCGAAACGTTCCAGATTCTAACGTATTTCATTTAAGAAAAAATGGACGTTACCTTACTGGGTTGTACTTTTTATGCATACTATTCAAAACCTCTTCGGAATGCTCGCCAATGGTATTCTGATTTTTCTAGTGCTGAAAAGAACTCCGAAGCAACTGGCAACATACTCGATCCTTATTCTCAACTTCGCCATCTGCGATTTCACGGCATGCGCTGCTGCTTTGTTCGTGCAGCAGAGGTAGGCTTGCTTCTTACCCTAATGCGTACTTGCAGTGAATGTCAGAGCTTTCAGATGCTCACTCCTCTACCTTTTTTTCTTACTAGTTTTCAATCCACACTTTTCTACTGTAGTTCTTCTTCAACACCCACTTCTATCTACATAATTGTATATGTACATCTGTGATCTGTATAACTCACAATTTTCAGAATCATTTCTGGTGGACTTGGTCTTTATTTTGTTTCCTATGGACCGTGCGTGTTTTTTGGGTCAAAAGTCTGTTTTGTTGGGTAAGTCCCGGTACTACACATGCTTTCGAAGGGGTCATCCAACTAAGTACAACGTCAAGTGTCAAAGTCTAACAAAGTAAACAGTCATGTTTCAGATACAGCCTCATGCTGCAATGTTATTCTCACGGACTGTGGAGCCTGCTATTCTCATTTTCATATCGCTACTACATCTTAGGGCATCAGCAGCCAAGAAGGAGGACTGTTATATTTGTTATTTTCCTTATATATCTTCCATCTTTGATCCAGTTTGTGAGTTTCAAAGAATTCGTGCTTTGAAACAGTCGGCTTTTGTCAATCTCTCCGTCTGGCCGCTGGCAGTCCGCTATTGCGATTAAAATTCCTCTACCTGATGGAAGTTCATACCGTCAAAAGTCTCTCTCTTCAACTACAACATGTAATCTTGAAATAGCACGAAATCATTCTGACATTCACGCTTCTAGGAAATTGCAATCTTGTGATTAAGAAAGCAAGAGATAGTTAGCCTGGCATTCTGAGTGTATATACTTTATGCACTGCATAAAAATCATGGTATCCAAAATAGTGAAGAGCTGTCGCATTAAACGCGAGCAGCGGAATAGAGTATGAGAAAGATCAACGGTCCAGTTCATGGCGGTTTCCAGGAACAAATCCAAAGTATAGAGCCTTGGGAAAAAATTGGGTCAATCCGCGCGATAAAAGAGTGAGGCAAAGAACGGCCTCAGTATTGTCCAATCTCTCCTGGCAAGATTCTTGAAAACACCCACGACAGAACTCTGTTAATGGCTATGCGAGAGTAATCTCGGTAAGTTCTAGTCTTCCCAAAGTTTTCTGGATGCGGGGAATCATGTCCAAAAATTTGGAATGCGTGCTGTTTCACTCAAGCGGAAAGAGCTTAAATCGCTTCCGAATTGTGAAGTTCTGTCGATTGAATTAATAGTGGGCCCCCAACTTTGCAAGTGGTGGGATACGATCATTCTGATCAAATAAGTACATTACTGAGTATCAAACTCCAAATGGATTCGGTAGCATCACACTCTTCGGATGTTTTAAGCTTATTTTCTGATTTTTGAGCTTATTTTATCAAGCAAATTTTTCGTTGCGAATGGTTTGACCTGATTTATGTGTGTCAAATTATGGGCTATTTGCACGAAAAATTGCACATGGGAGCTTCCAAGTTGATATCCCAGTAATGCACGAGGAATTATCTAGCTAATTTTATGTTATCTTGTTTATGGTCTATCGGAGAAAATCTCATACGTATTTTCAGATAGTATTCTCTTTCGCCAGTGATGGTGAAGCTGAGTTGAAAACAATCATAGAGATGAAGTTTGGTTACGATGTAAGCTCGGAATGTGTTAGCGGTCATAAAAATATACTCAGCTGGATGGTGCTTCCCTTCATTCTGCATATGACACTGCCAATCGCACCTGTCTACACAACCATCCTCGTACTCAGAGGACTGACAGCAAGGAAATTGACCAACGAAAGTACCTTTTCCAAAAAAGCTCGCGATCTTCAATCGCAACTACTCAAGGTAATTTCGCTTGTACTTCTGTAAAGATTTTTCCACGAAAACTTTCTTTATTGAAAATTAAGTTTCATAGGAATTAAGTTCCATAGGGATGACCCAAACAAATAACTCTTGACGTTGCACTTGCGCTGAATCTACTGAGCCCACTTCTACCTCGAGAGCATATTTCAATACTGACAAGAGGTTAGAGGCCGAAAGGGTGTGACATTCGCACGAATTATTAGGTAGCTTGAGAGGTTTCAAGACGTGATAAAACACTGCGACCATCGGAAGGCTTAACGCTCTTGACATGGTTTATCGCGTCCATCCATAGCGCCACCTTTTCACTACCAGCTTCAGATGATGACCACCCTGTATCTCATAAAGGACTAGTTCTCGACGGAAACTGTATATCCTGCACATCAGAAATGCTATTGATATGAAATATCATATCAGTAACATTCCTAATGTGTAGTTTTTGGCCACTGCACATTGAATGCTCCAAAAATTGTTCGAGAATTATTGAAGTTTTCCAACATGCATTGCGACATAGCATGTATGCTACCTATAAACGTAGCCTATTATCCTGCATGTGGGTTCCTCTGATTGAGCTCTAGCTTCTTCTTTCACCTCTTTCTGATCCCATTTTTCTATGACTACGGAACAATCTTCCAAACGCAAAGCTACATACAAGATCAAAAAGAAAATGGAGTAAGAGAAAGCTCTTCGAATGCACAGCGCCCCAGTGAATCGCTCCACTCAGGGCTGACTTTTGCAGGAAATTCACACCTTACTCCATTCTGAGTCCCAGTAGTGATTCCCGGCGCTGCTGATAAGTAATCCAAACCTGTCCCTCGACAGCACACTGCCTCATGGCAGCAAGATGAACGTGCGACGACAGTAAGACAGAGGAACAACCTTTCAGCGCCATGGCCTCCCTGATAAGAGAGCTCGTTCGCTGCAGCTCGAGCAGCTTACTTTGCAAGCCCAAAGCTTGTCGGTCGAATTCCGTGCACGTGAACGCCACATTTGTGATTGTCCCCTAGGGTTCTATACTTCTGACCGAAGAGAAGAGTTCACACGACCTCTGCCTGGGTTGTGCCTTTAAGTGCATCAATCATTTTAAATCTGCTACCCCAGCCCTCGAAACGGAGATACATGTGTGCGATAAAGTCTGTGCAGCATTTGCGCATTAATATGAGCACCAATGGGCAACAGCTGCCCTGACTTGTGAATTTAATGTACAATTACAAATTTCGGACAACTGTAGACAACCATTGACGACAGGAGGAATAAAAATCATTTTGGATTATTCACGATAAATGTAAAAGGCGTAAAACTT